ACTCCTGTATACAGTGATGTCTGAAAAATCAGCTGAAGTGGAATGCTGAGCTCAGGTGTACATTCTCTAAGAACCCACGGTGAAACTCCATCTGGGCCAACTGCTTTGTTCTTACTTAGCTCCAGGAACATTTGTTTCACTTCGTCTCTAGACACCTCTATGTGCTCTATGCTGTTCTCTGGAATTCTTATTGTGTCTGGTTCTCTGAAGATCTCACTGTGTACAAACACACTTTGGAACTTTTCGTTTAATGTTTCACACATTTCCTTTTCATTTTCCGTGTATCTGTCCCCCATTTTCAACCTCTTAATATTATCCTTTATCTGCAGCTTGCTTTTAATGAATTTATAGAAAAGGCCAGGATCTGATTTACATTTGTATGCTATACCTTTCTCAAAGTTCCTCTCTGCCTCTCTCCTTACTGACGTGCAGTTGTTTCTTGCATCTTTGTATCGCTGGTATGTTTGGGGGCTTGGCCTCTTCCCATAATGATTCCATGCTTGTGTCTTTTGATCTCTGGCCCTCTCACAATTTCTGTTAAACCAACCCTGTTTCCTACGTCTACATGTCTGTTTTGGAATGAATGTTTGTGCGCCTTCATTGTATATTTTGCAAAATTTGGCATACATCTCATTTACTTCCTTGCCTAGCAACAAGTCTGTCCAATTATACCCATGAACAAAATTTCTTAAGCTCCCCATAGACCTCTCTTGAAATCGAGTTTAACAACTGTTTCACTGTCCCCATTCTCTACAAGATTATATCGCATATCGTATTTAATGTTCAAGAGGACGTGATCACTTTCCGAAGAGAGGAAGGTACTGGATGTCACATACCTCCTCTTCTTCTTTCCTGGTGAATACTAGATCCAGTACTGACGGACCATCCCCTTCCCTCATTCTTATGGCCTGCTTGACGTGTTGATACATGAATGTCTCCAAAATGAGGTTTAACCCCTTAACTGCGTGGCCTCCAAACATGACAACCCCCCAGTGCACAGGAAATAAAATCTCTGGAAAAAATTCCTTTCTCTTTTTAAAGTGTCAAAAATCCTTCCCTGAGTAAGGGTATAGTAACAGAAGGTCAAAATTGTAAATACTTTTGCTGCTATGGGGTCTGTAAGTTCGTGCGTGACATCATCATTCCCTGGTCGCCCGTGGCATACGTCCCCAGGGCCGGTAGGGCGCTCAGCAGGATGTGCGAGTTGCCGCGAATATATTTTTGTTCATTTTCTGCGCACAGTTCCAAATACATTTTATATGCCAATCCTATGTATAATGAACACGTACACTATATTACGGCAGTAGAACATCCGTAATGTCCGAAGACACTGTGTTACGTGCATGACATGTGTACACATATCCAGCACATACAGAGTACTTCCATTGTATTATGCTAATTTATATATATATACAGTCTATTTACACACTATACACTATCACACACACTATATACATTCACCATGAACACACTCAGAACTCCGCGAGTGTCAGCTGCCACACCCCCACTCCTCTCCAACATCCAGTCTCTCACTCACTCCTCTAACATCTTACTCGCCAACATTGCTCCTCCCACCATACTGTTATTGTTTGTATTACACTATTTACACACGTTATGCATACCTATCTACATGTTTTATTCACCAGAACTATGCAAGTAAGCCGGTATTGTATCCAAACATTACAGTGGCCACCATACACTGCATGAGAAATCACACAGCAGCCAGCAGGCGACGCTACAATTACGTCACCTCCCATACCAAAATAGCTCCCCCCAACATACTCCTGTTGCTGTTACTACACTATATACACACATATTGTATATACCCATGTACAAATGTGTTCACCGTAGCGAACCACTAAGCTAGTATGATGAGCAAAACACGAGTGGCTGAAGTAGAATAGGAAAACCCCACCCCTTGTAACAGTAAGACTCGCTCTGAGGGTTGGAAATCCCAGGCGGGGTTCAATGGGGCCCAAGGCCCCCAAGTCAGCTCCTCCCCAACCCCAGAAACCTCCACATCATGCCCTGGGGGCGAGTCACCCTCCAAAGCCCCGGCCTCACAAGAAAAAGCTGGGGCAGCCGAAAAAGCAGGAAGAGAGGGGGCCCACTGGTCAGACCCCGAGCTACAGCTGGAGGAATAGACTCGAATGCCTACGTCGCAACCCCTGAAAGAGACAAACCTCAAAACTGCCCGAGTCTCAGAAACCTCTAAACCTTGCCCTGACCCCGAAGCCCTCAGACGCTTAGGAGCCGGAAGCAGAGGAGGGGGGGTGGGATAGAATGAACCAAAGCAGAAGCAGGGAAAAACGAGGAGGCGCAGACTGAACCAAGGCTGACGTGACCAACACCTGGGTCCCTATAAGCAAAGCGGGGCAGCCTCGGGGCATCCGGGGAAGCAACCAACCTAGTACGTTGCAGCAACCTAAATCTAGCCTGCAATGCACGAGCTGCCTGCACCTAAGTAATATCAGTAGAATGGGGGAATTGAGTCACAAACAAGCAACAATGATCGCAAGACTCTGGGTCAAAGGTGTCACTGACCCAACAGGCAACATGACAGAGGCAAAAACTATGAGCGTTGCCCTGAGACAAGGAGACAGAGCAACCCTCAAACACAACCAAGGCGAAAGGGGACCCAAAAGTCGCATCCATCTGACTCTGTGTGCCCCCTGAGGGGTTTTCCAGGGGCCCCTAGACTGATATCGCTAAGGGTAAGCCCAGGCAGGGGTACTGCTAACCGGTGCCCAATGCTACCAACAAACTGCTAATGCTGAACCCCAGGGATGTGTCCACTCACAAGGGCAAGGCAGGGGGTACCACCAAAAACAGAAGGTCAAACCCTAACATAACTGGGGGAAGAAACACCAAGGCAGACCCCCACCAGGCAAAAATAAAAAAAAAAAACCTCGCAAGAGGACAGCGTACCCAGGAGGAACAGAGCCAGCTGCTGTTATAGGTGAAAACTAGCTGCGCAGTACACTGCGCCCCTACCAGTGCAAAAACTACCACTTACTCCAAGGTAAACAAGGGCGGAAATCCCCCAAAACACTCAGGCCGGTTAATCGCCAAGCAGCAAAAGATCAACAGAGGTAGACCCTCAAGGTGACTTGTGGAAGATAACCCCAAGCCCCAAGGGCAGTACTTACAGGGCACTCAGGGAAGGTAAACCTAAGCACATGCAGCCCGAGTACCTGTGAATATTACTCCCAGCTCGCACGCCACCATAAGACCAGTACTGGACCTATAACACACTGTGTTGTGCTGTGCAGCACAACACAGAGTCAGGAGTTGGAGCCACACAACCATGCCACATCACATCAGCCGAAGAACTGGTGCGTGGATCGCCGGCGTGGGGGTTTGGGGCTCCCCCTTTCCCCTCCCAATGAGGGGGGAGCTGCGCAGACATGTGGCGCGGCTCGTGCGACGTCATGCTTGTTTGCTGGTTTTCATTTTGGAAGTTCTGTCCACTAGTTAATCTATTTTAGTCGTTTTAACCAAAATAGGGGTTTGTTTTGAGGCACTTACCTTTCTGGTTCCTGTCCCAGTTGATGGCAGATATAGAATGCTCCAAATCCCATGTGCATTTCTATAGGCCATTGCTCCTCGTGCCTCTCTGAGGGAACCAGGTTCTGGCTGTGGTCCTTGGTAGGCCTAGAACTCCATTCACAATGATGCAAAAGTTTAGGAATACAGTATACATATCAGCTCCAAGGGAGCCGAAGGGGCTCCCCCCAGAAAAGGCAATATAATCCCCATGTACAAAATAGTAACGCAAATCGGTGAAATTGATAAGAGAAGAATTCGTGAGACCTGGAACTTCAAGAACAAGAGGTCATAGATTTAAACTAACTAAACAAAGCTGCTGAAGAACTATAAGAAAATTCTCTTTAGCAAACAGAATGGTAGACAGTTGGAACAAGTTAGGTGAGAGGGTGGTGGAGGCCAAAACTGTCAGTACTGTAGTTTCAAAGCGTTATATGACAGTGCGCTGGGAAGATGGGACACCATGAGCGTAGCTCTCGTCCTGTAACTACACTTGGGTAATTACCAGGTGACAGCACCAGGGCACTGGTGGCTCAGGAGATTATGGCCTTCCATCAAGAGGTGAACCAAGGTGAACGGAAGCTCCCAAAAGAAGGGTTGAGGTAATTATCTTAGGCTTACCAGAAAGGGACATTTCATTTAATTCAACACTGGTTTTCTGGGAGTGTTTATAATGTGGCTTCCTGGTACTATATCACCACAAAAAACAAACAGAAAAGCAGATCAACTTGATAATGGTGCAAGATGGACCGAAACGTCGTCCGTGGTGTAGTGGTAAGACACTCGCCTGGCGTTCCGCGAGCGCTATGTCATGGGTTCGTATCCTGGCCGGGGAGGATTTACTGGGCGCAATTCCTTAACTGTAGCCTCTGTTTAACGCAACAGTAAAATGTGTACTTGGATGAAAAAACGATTCTTCGCGGCAGGGGATCGTATTCCAGGGACCATAGAATTAAGGACTTGCCCGAAACGCTACGCGTACTAGTGGCTGTACAAGAATGTAACAACTCTTGTATATATCTCAAAAAAAAAAAAAAAAAAAAAAAAAAAAAAAAAAAAAAAAAAAATCTCTTCAATTTCTAGTGTGTGGTTTGGTCAACAGAAAAGGAGACCTGCCATGAGTGAAGGAAAGTAGATCATAATCTTCCCTAAGGAGGAGGAAATCAGTGGTGGTTTTCCATATGGATTACTGTGATCTGACTCCCTTTGCCTTTGTTAAGGGGGCCATATTCTGGTACTGGTTGCCAGTAGACGCTCTAGAATTTTAGAGTCTGGTGAAGTACCCTAGTTTTGGAGTTTACCGCTGGAGTTTACCAGATTGTTAGCTCAGGAAGCCACCAAGAGGGTCCTCCCAGAAAACTTTTAACTATAGGTTCTAAACTATCAAAGCTATGTATTGTACATACATATACTGTACATTAATATGGTCACAGTTAACATGACACAAACTCTACCTGCACTGAATACATCAAGTTTGTCTCCTTCAGGCCAGCATGAAACACCAGCTGGGGGAGATTCTTGTAACTGCTGACATTCTCGGTTCAATCGACCCAATCGCTGTGCCATTTTACCTCGAGTGTATGCTATAACCAGCTGAAACAGAATACAGTATGAGTATTAGATCAACACTTATACCTACAATAACATTTCAATACAACTACAATGGGGCCTCGACTTACGATGCTAATCCGTTCCCAGAGACGGATCGTAAGTCGAAGCGATTTTTCCCATAAGAAATAAAGGGAATTGAAATAATCCGTTCCCCACCCTCCAAAATATTAACATACAAATACATTTTATACTGAATACAATGTTTTTTTCTAACTACAATACAGTACCAAAGTTTCTCTTACCTTTATGGAGGGCTCTTGATGGCGTATGGAAGATGGTGATGAGGGGGAGGAGGAGAGTTGTTACTGTTTGGAAGGGGAGTTCCCTTCCATTATCACATCAGGCAGTGATGTTTTCTCTGGAGTATTCTCTCTCCTACGTTTTGCCTGAATACCACTAGGACCTAGTTGTGGTTCAGTGCTTGTTTGTCTCACTACAAATTTGTCAAGAGACATTTGTTTTTCCCTGTTGTTTTAACATTTGTCTGTAATAATGCATCACAGTGTCATTGAATAGGTTAAGGCAACGACCTACTGCAGCTTCATTTGGGCGAGTCGTTTCAGCAAAGGTTTGCAATTCTTCCCACGCTGCACACATTTTCTTAATTGTTGAGGAAGAGACATGCTGTACAGGCATACCTCAGAATAAGAGTTTAATCCGTTCCTGGAGACGCCTCGCCTTCCGAAAACTCGCATTCCGAAGTTAATTTCCCCATAAGAAATAAAGGGAAATGAATTAATCCGTTCCTGACTACCCCAAAAACCCCACATCAAACTAAATTTTTATACCTAATTCATCTAAATAAACCTACAAAACTGTGTTCCAGTTATTACTTACCTTGCTGTCGAGTGCTGTAGGCGTATGGAAGATGGTGAGGAGGGGGGAGGAGGAGAGGAGTTACTGTTTGGAAGGGGAGTCCCCTTCCATAATCACATCACATAACCCCATGCCTTGTAACACTATGGATACCACTTCTCTTTCTAAATTTTTCAAACCAGCCCCTGCTTGCCTTAAACTCTTTCTTATCTGCATCACTCGTTGCAGGGGTATTCTTTAGAAGGTCTTCGTGCAACACCCTGGCTTTCTCACAAATAATGGCCTCCGAAACACTATCACCCCTCAACTCCTTGTCGTGTATCCAAATTAATAACAACTTTTCCACTTCTTCAAGTATTTGTGGTCTTTGTGCCGTTAATGTTCTTACTCCTTTTGCCACTTTAGCACCCATAATCTTATTTTTCTTCTTAAGTATAGTGCATATTGTTGATGTGGCTTTGTTGTACTGCCTACAAAGTTCAACAACACGTGTACCGTTCTCATGCTTCCGAATGATCTCTTGTTTCTCCTCTATTGTCATCCTCACATGAGCTTTCTGGCCTTTATCCTTACCACTGGCTTTCTTGGGACCCATGGTGAGATATATAATAACAAATTGTATAGACAAATCACCAAAAATTCAACAAAACACTGAAAATCCGCGAGAAGAATTGATGTGGGGGTAGTCACTGAGCGCGAGACAATAATAAACTGAGGGGCGGAGGGGCGACGAACGCGCTAGGTCGGCTGTACGCATATCAACAAACTCGCGTCCAAACTCGCCTCCCGAAGTAACCCTCGCCTTCTGAGACAAATTTTTGGAGTAAATACACCTCGCCTTCCGAAAATCTCGCATACAGGGACAATCGCATTCCGAGGTACCACTGTACTCTTGTTTCTGCTCTATGGTCATCCTTACATGGGTTTTCATATGTTGAGCCTTACCACTGACTTTCCTGGGACTCATGGCGTGATATATAATAATTACTTTAATGTTCAAAATGCAAAAAATCACCACAAAAGCGGAATTTCTTATAGGCACAATCGTCACTAAGCGGACAGCTGTACTAAACTGAGGCAGGTCGGCCGCGTGACTGGGAACCACGCGCTCGGTCGACCCGAACGTGTACCAACAAATATCGGATATCGAGTCGCATTTTTCAATGAAATTTACATCGTAACTCGAAATTATCGTAAGTAGGGGCAATCTTATGTCGAGGTGCCACTGTATTTGTGACCTTTTAAAATTATACAAGATTTCTTACACTGTTGCCAGAAAATGAAATCTAACAAGACTTTGGAAGTACTGTACATGTACTCCTTCCCTATCCCACTAGGCTGCACCACAATATATACCAAGCAACACCCAGGTGTGCAGACGACGAGTCACAATAACGTGGCTGAAGATATGACCAAACCACACACCAGAAGATGAAGAAACCACGACGTTTCAGTTTGTCCTGGACCATTATCAAGTCATATTGGAGAGAGGTTGTTGTTTTAGATTCTGCTACTCAGAACAAAAAGTCCCAAGTAGCACAGGTTATTGTGAGCCCATTGTGGATCTACCTGGCACAGGAGCGAGGCTGTAACTGGGGATAGAGGAAGACATGGGCAATAAATAAGGAGAATGAGGTGAGGAGCAGGTAAGAGAAAAAGATAATGAAGAAGGTAAGGTGTAAGGTAGGGAGCAGATAAAAGAAGGTAAGAGTAAGGCAAAAAGGTAAGAATAGGATGAAAGGTACAAATGGGATGAATGTAATTATGGGATGAAAGAAGAATGGGATAGGTAAGAATCAGATGAGGGTTAACAAAAAGAAAAAAAAAAAGAGGAGGGGGGTAGGCTTACGTCAGGTCACGTTTGTTATGAAGGTTAGAGCATTTGAGTATGTACAGTACTGTGAAAGAGAAGAATCAACTGCAACAAAGCCAGGACTAAGGTTCTTGTTGGTTATGTTGTGTATCAGAGCACATTCAACAAGAGGGTGTCATTTCAGAGCCAAGTCATCTCTCGCATTAGGAACGGTTGAGGGCCACAGAGCTAACAACACTGCAGACCAGGCATGACAGGGCAGATCTCATCAAAACATTCAAACTCCTAAACAATTTGGAGGATGTTCATCCTAACAACTTTAATCAAAATTAAAATGTTTATTCAGGTAAAGTACATACATACAAGGTGTGATACAAACATTGATGGATTTATAGATAGAGCTAGTACATACAATGCCTAAAGTCACTATTACGCAAAGCGTTTCGGGCAGGAAAAACACTAAAGACTAAAACTTAATACTAATTGAGTTTAAAGTATAAATTGTGTTGAGAAAATATAAAAATAAAAAAGGGGGAACATGGCAGAAAAATAGCAAATATACAATTTGGTCGACAAACAGCGTTGTTTAAAATAGCAGACATGGGTTGACATTATAGGGGTAAGGTAGGTTACAGGGAGTTAATTAGGTAGTGCTTAGTTTTTGTCTTAAACTGGTTGAGAGAGGTACAGTCTTTTAACATGGTTGGGAAGGTCATTCCACATTCTGGGTCCCTTGATTTGTAGAGCATTTCTAGTTTGATTAAGTCATACTCTTGGAATATCAAATAGGTATTTGTATAGTATAAAAGGTCAGATGTAATACAAACAAGAAGCAACAGTTCCAAACTCATCAAGCCACAATGTAGGATGGAGAACAGGAGATGCTTCTTCACCCGCTGGGTTATTAGCGCATGGAACTGCCTACCTGCCAAAGCCCAAAATGTCAAAATGCTGTTAAGGTTTAAAGTACAGCTGGAAAAGATTATCAGGACAAATGGGGGTGGGGACCTTCGACAAGCTGCTGGCTTCCTATCCTCATCGAGGCGACTAGTGTTAGTGGGCCTCAGGTAAATCAGGTGTAACACCAACCTGTAGTTAGTTTAGTTCATTTATTATGCACCTAATACCCATCTTGTGGGCGGTAGTGGAAAGGGTTACAGAAGCACATAATGGGCTCAGGGACTGAACCCCACAATTTATTTAGCTAAGCAAGATACAGTCTTGAAGAGCTAGTTACAAAATTCAATACACATCGTCGCATCATCAATGGGTTCGAGATCGACCCCAAGTACAGACCTGTATTCTTCTTCATGATAGTGGGTGTGCAGTTTGCATGAAGGGTTTAGCCTCCCGATGACTGCACCAGTACACATGTAGGGAGGCGCGTTTATGTTGAGAATGATAAGAGCTTCAAAAGTGTTTGTTGCGTTGTGGTGTAGATAGAGGAGTTTGGCCTGCCAGTTTGGCTTCCGGTCCCAAAAGAGCACCAACGATGCAATCATTAGTCTCCTTGACGTTATCTACTCAGCCCTTGACAAAAATGAGTTTCCGATTGGACTCTTCATTGACCTAAGAAAAGCCTTTGATACTGTTAATCACAACTACCTTTTACTTAAACTCCAGCATTATGGAATCCGAGGCCTTGCCCTTGACTACATCCGATCCTATCTTAGTGACAGACACCAATATGTAACCATCAATGGTACAACTTCTTCCACTCTACCAATTACCGTTGGAGTGCCACAGGGCAGCATCTTAGGACCTCTTCTATTTCTTATATATATAAACGATCTGCCTAATGTCTCTAATATTCTCAAACCTATACTGTTTGCTGACGATACTACTCTTATCTATTCAAACCTCAACCCACATACACTAAATAATGTTGTGAATAATGAATTAAAAAAAGTCCACTTATGGATGTCAACGAACAAACTAACATTAAACATCGAAAAGACTTACTACATCTTATTTGGAAGCAAATCATCAAATGCAATTCAGCTACAGATAGACAACATTAACATCAGTAATAAAGATGATGGCAAGTTTCTTGGCCTATTCCTAGACAAGAGACTCAACTTCAGCACCCACATTCAACACATAACTAAGAAAGTCTCTAAGACAGTTGGTATACTCTCCAAAATCAGATATTATGTTCCTAACTCTGCTCTCCTCTCACTATATTATGCACTAATCTACCCCTATCTTAATTATGGTATCTGTGCATGGGGGTCTACCACTGCAAATCACCTTAAGCCCATCATCACACAGTAAAAATCTGCTATCAGAATGATAACTAACTCAGCTTTCAGACAACACTCAGCTCCCTTGTTTAAATCCCTAAACTTGCTAAATATTAACTCCCTCCACACATTCTCTTGTGTCAACTACATTTACAAAACCCTGTTCTTAAATGCAAACCATGCTCTGAAACTTTCCCTGGACAGATGTAATAGGACCCATTATCACCACACCAGAAATAAATATCTCTTTGATATCCCCAGGGTCAAACTTAATCTGTGTAAACACTCTATGCAAATTAAGGGACCTAGTCTATGGAACTCACTCCCTAGTGAATTGAAAAACTGTAAAACTTTTGCCTTATTTAAAAGCAAAACCAAAAAGTATCTAACTTCATCTTCTTAGTTTCCTACACTGAGCTTTAAATTTGCTCTGTACCTAGTGTTACCCAATCTCCTAATTTTTATGTAATATCAAACAACCTTATCATTGTGTTCATTGCTGTCTTCTTTTATGTGCTAGCCATATGCTGTATTGTGACTACCAATTTTTGTCAACTACCATTCAAGCTGTCATTGCAACCAATCTTATATTGTTTCTGCTGTATTGTGCCTACCAATTTTTTTGTCAACTACCATTCAAGCTGTCATTGCAATCAATCTTAGCTACCTATGTGCTTTAATATACTGTACCTACAATTTTCTCTCATCTTTTTTTCATTTCATGTACTCTGTTATCATTTTTTGTCTATAATTTTGCAAGTATTTACCTCCTTAAAATTTTCTTAGATTAAGGACCTGCCCGAAACGCTGCGCGTGCTAGTGGCTTTACAAGACTGTAATTACCATATTTGTATCCTCACATTCCTTATGTACATTCTTGTATATGCATAAATAAATAAATAAATAAATAAGAGTGAGACTTACCGCACCGTAGGGCGGGAGGCTGTTTATGGCGTCAGCTGAGCCTTAGTGCTGCACCAGGGGAGGGGGCACTGGTCTAAGTGATTTATTTATTTATATATCATCAACTTCAGTTTCGGATGACCCAGTGACAACTTTTTTTGTTAATATATATATACAAGAGTTGTTACATTCTTGTACAGCCACTAGTACGCGTAGCGTTTCGGGCATTACCTCGGTTTCTTTATGCTCAATTAGTATTAAGTTCTAGATATTAATGTTTTTCTTGCCCGAAACGCATTGCGTAATAGTGGCTTTAGGCATTGTATGTACTAGCTCTATCTATATATCAATCCATTAATGTAACATCACTTGTATGTATATACCTTACCTGAATAAACATCTGAATCTGAATCTGAATCTGAATCTGTTTAGGAAACGTTGTTCAGTGTCAACCAATATTTTTTTACTAGTTGTATATGAAAAGGGCTGCAATTGTGCCGAGTTTCAGTACTGCAGCGAAAATAAAAAGGGAGATTTTTTTTTTTTTTTAAATGTTACACATTTTTGAGTGTAAATAAAAAACACACCTTTCAGATATAATCATTCTATGACACTTTTCTGACACATTAGCATATAATAAAGTCACCAGGGCAGGGCGGGGTACGTAATATCTGATCTTAGAAAGAATGCCAACAGTTTTTGAAACTTTTTTTGATATATTTAGAATGTGTCCCTGGAAATTCAGCTTGTGGTCAATGAGAATGCCAAGGAATTTGCCATCTAATTTGTTACAAATTTGGGTATTGTTTATTTTGAGATTTATTTGATTAGAGGATTTATTGCCAAACAGAATATAGAAAGTTTTGTCAATGTTAAGGGTGAGTTTATTGGCAGTTAGCCAAAGATGGACTTTATTTAGCTCAGTATTCACTGTGGCATTTAGAGCAAGGGGGTCAGGACTGGAGTAAATGAAGGTTGTGTCGTCAGCAAATAGAATTAGTTTGAGGTGTTGGGAGGCATTTGGAAGGTCATTAATGTAGATGAGAAAGAGGAGAGGGCCAAGTATGCTGCCCTGAGGAACACCAATGTTGATGGGTAGGGTGGGAGAAATTGAATTATTCACAAAAACATACTGGAGCCTGTCAGTAAGGTAGGATTTGAGGTATTGCAGGGAATGTCCTCTGACTCCATAATGATGTAGTTTAAGAAGAAGGTTTTGGTGGTTGACAGTGTCAAAAGCTTTACGCAGGTCCACAAATAACCCAACAGGGAACTCATTTTTATCAAGAGCTGTATGAATCGAGTTAAGCATACTAATAAGTGCATCATTAGTGCTTTTTTTGGGTCTGAAGCCATATTGGCAAGGTCTAAGTATATTGTGTTTGGCTAGATAAGAGTAAAGCTGCTTTAGATTAAGCTTTACTACTTTAGATTTGCTACTCAAATCTCTGAATATGTTAGATATTAAGTCACTGCACATTCTCTCATGTGTATTATACATATATAAAACGCTGAACTGTAATGCCAATCCTGACCTCAAAAAATTCATAGAAGGTTGTAACAGAACCCATGAGCACCACACCAGAAATAAATACAGTTTTGATATTCCTAGAGTACGACTTAATCAAACTAGAAATGCTCTACAAATCAAGGGACCCAGATTGTGGAATGACCTTCCCAACCATGTTAAAGACTGTACCTCTCTCAACCAGTTTAAGATAAAAACGAAGCTATACCTAATAAATTCCCTGTAACCTACCTTACCCCTCTATTGTCAACCAATGTCTGTTTTTTTTAAAGAGCGCTGTTTGTCGACAGAATTGTATTTGTGCTGCTTTTTCAGCTATGTACATTCTTGTATATGCATAAATAAATAAAATAAATAAATAAATGTTTTCATTCCATGTTTTCATTTTACTCTTTATGCTCAATTAGTATTAAGCTTTAGTCATTTCTTGTTTTCATCACTCTTTGTAAAATCTCTTGTATGTATGTACCTTACCTAAATAAACATTTGATTTGATTTGATTATGTTTGCTACTCTGTTTCTGCCTTCCTCTAAAAAATTTCCAGTAGTGTCATATTGATCTTCCCGTCTATAACGCTGTGTACCTCTCACGTGGAATTCCGGACACTGAAGATTGTAGCATTTTTTGTCCCTAATTAAAAATTGACATAATTTAGGGTGGAAGTATCTACACCCTGTTCCAAAACGGCATGTACCCCTCTCCAACATGTTCCTGCATTTTCGAGGATGCAGAAAATTGCATTTTGCTCCTAATTTTCCATATTTGCATATTCCTTTAGCGTAGAATTTGCAAATATGTTCCGGTTTTGCATTTTTCAAGGTATTTATTCCTGTGTCTGTCTTGTCTACCTCTTTATTGGAGCCATCTCCGTTTTTCGTCCCAATTCCTTCATTTATGCACTCTGTCTCACTGTTGCTCTCATTGTTTATATTACCTGGCTCTGCAATATTGCTGTTATTTTGTACCACAATACCCTCTTCCTCCACACTACTGCTGCGGTTCTCTAAACTATCTGTTCCTGAGTCTTGGTTGTTATCCAATGTTGTCTTTTCCCAGTACTTGACTGCTGTAAACCCTCTCGACAGTGTAATAGGTCTGCTCCCTGGAAAGTACAGAAAATAGACGTCGAAATTGTACCCCTCAAGGTGAAAAAGATTCATCATGAACCGGGACAATTACGGTGTTTGTATGGAAGCATGATATATCGGTTACCAAGAGGGTAATAGTTTACATGCATATTGCGACGGGTCGGTGGCGGAGGATGGCAGGGCAGGGTGTGGTGTCCTAATAAAGGAATATACTAAGTTTGGGACTGTGGACAGGATAATTGAACTCCGGCTTAGTAATTATATATCATCCACACAAGCTGAACTGCAGGCCATTCTGGCGTGTTTGGAGGAAGTACGTCATGATGACAAAAATGTTTTTGTATTTTCTGATAACGGAGGAATGAGACCTCATTGACCACAAGCTTAATTTCCAGGGACACATTCTAAACATATCAAAAAAAGTTTCAAAAACTGTGGGCATTCTTTCTAAGATCAGATATTATGTACCACGCCCTGCCCTGGTGACTCTCTATTACTCCCTTATCTATCCATATCTCAACTATGGTATTTGTGCTTGGGGCTCTACTACCCAAAATCACTTACGTCCTCTAATTACTCAACACAAAGCTGCTATTAGGACAATATCCAATTCTGGCCCCAGACACCACTCGGTACCCCTACTTAAATCTCTGAATATGTTAGACATTAAGTCACTGCACATTCTCTCATGTGTATTATACATATATAAAACGCTAAACTATAATGCCAATCCTGATCTCAAAA